GCAAGCCTGATTGTTTTGATATTGCATATATAGGTACTACATGTGGACCTCTCTCAGATTTGTTCATTTCGTGATGATATCTACAATTATCTAATTTTGAAGAATATTTATGTCATTTTTGGTAAAAAGTGACATTTTCGACTTCTTGTTGAAAACCACAAGTCAAATTGCTTTTATATTACATATATAGGTACTACATGTGGACCTCTTTCAGATTAGTTAATTTCGTGGTGATATCTTCAATTATCTAATTTTGATGATTATTTTTGTCATTTTTGATGAAAAGTGATATTTTTGAATTCTTGTTGAAAACAGCAAGTCCCATTGCATTGATACTATACATTGGGTCGATTTCTAATAATATCTTCTGTTCTTTACTTGAAATGTGCATTACTAACAGCGGAGCTATCTCAGCCGACTGGCTGCTTGTTGTAATGTGCATTGCTAACAGCGGAGCTATCTCAGCCGACTGGCTGCTTGTTTACTATTATTATTACATTAATTTTTAAATATATTGCTATTAACGAATAGAAAATGTTAGTTTTAAGGATGCAATAAAGATATTATTATTATATTATTACTATTACATGTATGTACCTGATAAATTTAACACCTTGCCAGTCATACATGTAGCTTCTCAATGTACGCAATTTACCTAACAAAAGAGACATACATGGTATAACTGAATTACTGGATGAAATTGTAGAAAATACAACAAAGACTGCACAAACTTGATATAGTGAAACGTATCCTACAACACTCAATGAGATGTTTTACTTTTCTAGGGATGTGGGAAAACAGTGTTAGCCAGAGAATTTGCTAATACTTTAGGATATGAAATAGAACCTATCATGCTCTACCAGGTAAGTCATGCATACTCTAAGATTAAAGCGGGAGGGTTGTCACCTGCGCACACACAGGAGTCCCAAATGATGATAACAACACATGCTAAGAACGCAAAGGCTCATGGGTAGACGCTTATTTGTAACAATGACATGCCATGGCCATCTGAAGCATGTGTAGTTGACGACTCCCCTGCTTTAATTTCTGTGCTCATCCATGTTTTTCACTTCAGTTTGTTTTGGTACAAGATTTCAAAATAATTTTTATAATGGAATGTCCAATAAAATAAAGAATAGCCATTGTCTTTGTCGCATTTATTGTCCGCTAAAATGCATGATAAATGTATGTGATATGATTAATGTTTCAAAAGAATAAATGCATGAATCTGAGAAACAGGTAAGCTGTACTGTATGTCATTCTCTTGCCTCACAACTTGTATTATTCGTTGTAAACTGAAATCTTAATTAACTGATATATAATATTTCTACTGTTAGGACATGACATCACGTGATCTTCTTCAACAACGTACTACATTGCCTAATGGTGATACTACATGGCGTCCATCAGCGTTGGTAAATTCTGCTCGATGTGGAAGTCTAGCCGTCTTAGATGGTATACATCGTATCAATGCAGGTACACTTGCTGCATTACAAAGGTTGGTATTTCTAATAAGTGTCAATGTAACAGTACGGCTTTGAATTTGTATAAGATATATTTTGAAATATTCCGGTATAATTCTTGTTTTACACTTTGAGTGCCAAAATCAACTCTTGAAACCCTTTTTAGTCCCCGTTCGGACGGGGACTTATAATTCGGTCTCTGTGCGTCCGTGTGTCCGTGCGTCCGTCCGGAGTCATATCTCAGAATCCCTTGGACTGATTCCATTCATTCTTTGCATGTGCCTAGTACTTTATGTGGGACATATGCACATGCAGTGGTTTAGCGATTCGATTCAAAATGGCCGACTGGCAGCCATCTTGTTTTTTGAAAATGTTGTATTTTGGACATGCTTTGTCAGTTTTCATTCAAACTTGCTACATAGATTATACATGTTAGGATACATGTCCATGATGATTTATTTCACAATTGGATCAAAGATGGCTGACTGGCAGCCATCTTGTTTTTTGAAAATGTTGTATTTTGGACATGCTTTGTCAGTTTTCATTCAAATTTAGTACATAAATCATACATGTTAGGATACATGTCCCAGACCGTCCGTGTGTCCGTCTGTCCGTGCGTCATA